GATCAAGAATAATATTTTATCAGTGATTAATTTAAACCATATCCACCAATTAATAATAAGATGCAATAATACTTTATGAAAAGCTTTTATGAATAAATCTAGATGTCTTTCTTTACGAAAAGTTTGTTAAGTCATGATGAAAGAAGAATGGCAGTCAAGAAGAGCGCTCACAAATGTGCACTTGTTTTGACAATGGACAGCTCTGCTGAGGGTTTTTGTGGCAAGTGTGCTGTTTCGTTTAATGATGTCGAAATGCAGGGGAGCAGCTGGCAATAAAACACTATTAGAAGAGATGAAATTCACGCAACTGGTAGCAGTTTACTTATTCACATAAAAATTTAAAAATGGAACGAATAAATCTCTCCGTCTTAGCTAGGCAAATCTAGTTATCTCGATTTATTAGTGTAGCACAAAAGCCTACAATGAAATTTGGGATGGTTGTAGCAATAGTCATTTCCTTTCTCACCCCTATCTCCTTTAGACTTCAAATAAAAGATAGATTTTATATCCACTTATAGCTGAGATGCACATTATTCAGCCTTTGATTTAATCAAATCACACAAGTATATCTGAGTATTCCTCAAGAAAAAGAAATGACCTATCAGATCTCTCCAATGCTCTGTCCATAACCAAATGAAAAGACATTTCCTTTATTTCTAAAATGTAACATACACCAGAGGCATAGTATACTAAAGAGTTGAATTAAGGAAAATCTTATCTGAACAATCAAGGAGCAAGCAAGTGGGGGAAGGGAAATTTTGTACACATTAGCTCAGTCTCCAACTCCATCTCTTCCTAAAAATGTTGACTGAAAGTGCTTTTGATTTTGGCACAAACATGAAAAAGTGTCCTTCCTAAATTAAATAAGTCTTCACTATAAACAAATGCATGTCTTATCTCAAGACTGTATTCTTTGAAATTTAGGTATTTCATTTTCCACATTGATCTCGATGTCTATGCCTTCTGGTCTGGGCCTTATATAATCTCATTTAACTTTTGTTGGCATGTTTGTTGCTGATTTCTGTGTTAAACCCAGTACTTTACATCCAAATTAACTTGTCCATGATGATAAAACAGGTGGGACTACCTCTCTATACATTCGTTATACTCCAGTACTTGGGCCCCATGTAATGTGAGCTATAAATGGCCATATTCTTTGAAGTGAAAATGAGCTTACCACAGAGCTCTAGAATTGTTGTTCATTTGTTAATCTCACAAATACATGATTAACTTTAGTACTTCTTATGCCTACCACCTCTAGTTTTTTTCTTTTTCTGAAAATAAAGTGGGAAGAAATAAAGAAAGAAAGAAAGAAAGAAAAAAGAAAGAAAGGAGGAAAGAAAGGAGGAAAGCAAGAAAGGAGGAAAGCAAGAAAGAAAGAAAGAGAGAGAACGAGAGAGAAAGAGAGGGAGAGAGAAAGAAGGAAAGAAAAGAAAGAGAAGGAAGGAAGGAAGGAAGGAAGGAAGGAAGGAAGGAAGGAAGGAAGGAAGGAAAAAACGACACCTTGTTCCCCATTCAGGTGAGGGGAATTAGATTTGTTCCCTTTTTTTGGCAGCAGTTGGGTTTGAACGCAGGGCCTTATGCTTCCCAGACAATCACTCTATACCTTTGGCTATTTTCCCAGCCCTGCAACGTTTAACTCATATGGCAGATTAATACCTAATGAGCAATTTGGTATTTTTATAGCTGCCTTAGCAGACAGTGACTCTTGGGGAAATTTCAAGTCCAGTAAGAAGACAGAACATCTTGACAAAAGAATATCATGTCCTTTGATTTATGTGCAAATTTCTAAAATAAGAAAGCCTGATCTCTTCACCCACTCAGTCACTGAAAGCTTTCAATTGTTCAGGTACTGTAAAATGAAGACTGGGAGGCATTGGTTCCTGTCCTTCAAGGGACATAAAACCCATGGTAAGGACACACACATAAACAACTAAATAGAACATGTAAGGGTTATGATAAAGATATGACCAGGTTTGTAGGAGTAGAGAAGACTAGATAACTAGCGAAAGGCTCCAGAAGACTTCATAGAGGTGACCCGTAAACTGGTGAATGGAGGTCAGTCAGGGGTTGAAGGGATGGGAATACACTTCGCTTGCATGTGGCCTTGCATGTGGTACAGAAGGTGTGATCAAGGAATGGATGCAAGTGTAAGCTTCAGCCTGGGAGGGCTGCAATGCAAGAGCAATCTTCCACAGCTAAGCTGAAGAAGGTGGGCGCTGGCTACTAGGGAGATGATGGCCCTGTTAAGAAGTGTCACAGCAGGGGGAGATGGGAAGGGATGGTATAGGGAAACAAAGGAGGAGGCAACAATGCTTGATCAGAAATGTACTCATTACCTTGCTCGTGTAATTGTAACCCCTCTGTCCGGTATTTTCGCAATAAGAAATTAAAAAAAAAAAAAGAATAATATGGAAAAAAAAAGTCTCATGACACAATCCACCTCGGCTCAGAACATTTTCAGGTAGAGTAGACACATGCCATCTAATGTGCTAGATGGTAACACTGTAAGTAATTTATCAATGCCATCACAAAAAACTAGAAGGCAGAATTTTTTTCCTATTCTCTATGAACTAGGTACTTTAATATTTTATATCACTTAATTACTATAACAATACTTTGAACAAGACTTTGAAAGATCCTTCTATAATAGATGAAAAAGAGGCAGACTCACAAATACTAGCCTCAGAACTGGGCATGGTGGGATATGCCTATAATCCTAGGGGCTGAAGCAGGATCTCAAGTTCAAGGCTAGCTTTCACTATATACCAACTTCTGACTAAAATAAGAATAAAGATAACCTTTTACAACCCATACAGCATATGCCATTGCTATTCTTTAGGGTCACCATCTGGCAGAAAACTGGGTTCACTGATTGGGCCTGATCTAGCAAAGTGTTGCTTATATTCCTGTACATACACCATTTTAATTTTCTGGGTAATTAAAACAAAATTAACAAATTAATCTATTCTAACCCATAATGGTTTTTTTTACCCTTAATACTGGATATGTGTGGAATGTTTGACTGTATTTGGTACGATCATATTTTGTACTTATATTTGCATGTCATGAGCTAAATATACCTAACCTGGTACCCAAAATTTAAATAGACTCTTAAAAAAACCTATACAGAAAACTAGGTCATATATAAACAAACACAGGGATGCATTTTTTTCTTACTTTTACCATTAAATTCACCAAGATTTTGAAAACAATGGATACAATCACCACTTCATCATATACCATATGAACATTTTGTGCAGAAAAAGTAAATAAAAATACAAATATTGTAAATTAAATGTAAAAAAGTACAAATTCTCAATTCTGAAAAGAAGAAAAATCTCAACTTTTATGTGCTTTTCTAGATTCAGGTCAATGTTTCTAAGATTACTAAATCTTAAGTTACGGAAGTAGTCTTTTTTTGTTTTTTGGGAGGTAGCCATACACCTAGGATTTGAACTTCGGATCTTATGCTTGCTAGGAAGGTGCTCTACCCCAGGAGCCATATTCCCTGGTCACAGAAGGCAACAGGCCAGTAGTATTGCTAGCTGACATGAAAGTCAAGCTTTGATGCTCTGACTTCTTTTGAATCTTACTATTTTCATCTAGAATATTGGCCTCTAAACATTACGCATCCTAAAATATCCAATCTTTTGAGTGGCCAGCAAGTCTGCGGGAAAGTAGGGGAAACAGGAGTGAGTGGGTGTATGTTAAACTATATGCCTGAGAAAAAGATCATCCAGTTTAAGCTATAATGCTGTTACATACACACCTAGTGCCTAATTATCAACTGGCATAGCATTACTGAGTGCTTGAAAGATTTCTGGGTAATACAAGCTACCTAACACCACAAGTGAAATGACCTGAGATTTAAAGTCAGAACTTCATTGGCTATTAAAGAAACTGATGACAGGCTCAAAATACCCTTGTAGATCTTCAAGTTTCACCCAGGCCTTTCTGCTGTTTCTTTCGTCTTTGTTTTTTAGCACATAACTTTAAAAAAAATGCATTAGTCACCGCTCAAAGACTAAAACGCTTTTTAAAAATCTATCTTGAAACTATTTTTTAACCTGTAAATTAGGAGAGAGAAAAATACTTTATTTGGGGCCTAAAATGTCTCTTTGTCTGCTTGTAGGTTTCCAAAACCTAGAACAAATATGAGAAGCCCAAGAAATTCTTTCTGATTTCAGCTAGAGATTGTGATAGATTTCACTGATTTCCCAATGGGAAAATATTCTGATAATACTGGTTTGGTTGTTTTTTTTTTTTTGTTCTATTTTCTATATGTTTTACACTCATGTTTACACTCATGTTTTTTTTCAGAGTAAATTCACTCATACTTTCTTGGGCAGTAGGGGGAGCATAATCTTTTAAATTTTAAGTGTTTGAATCATAGTTGCTGGTATTTGCATGCTGCTTATTCTGAAAAATCTAGAATAAAGGATTCCATTGCCCTCTAGTGGCAATTTTGTTGTACTGTATTACCAAGGAATTCCTTTTAGTAAGAAGCAGAATAGACCATAAATCTTTGAAGAGCAATATGGTTACTTCATATCCTCCCTTCAGTTTCTGAAGTTTTCAAATAAATGCTTCCTCTCTTAAGATGATTTGTTTAGGGATTTTGTCACAGGGATGGAAAAACTCATTTAGCACAGCTTAGATGTGTCTGTTGTTTGTACACATCAGAAAGACCAAAACGATCGGTTTCCAAAGGGAACCTCTCAACAGTAGTTTGTTATGAGTAAGACTCCAAGATTACAATTCCAAACCTGCTTTGTGTGTTACTAGAAAACAAGGTAACGAATGACACACTGAATTGTATCAGATATGGAGAATGTTTCAGAGACATTTCAAAGACTAAAATAGAGTTACTCTTCGTAGTCTGATCTACATCTCAGATGGCTGAGAACAGGATTTACTAGGGAATTCTGTTGTATATCCCAGAACACACTATCCACTCACTTGTGAAAAGCCAGGAGTAAGAGATTTCTTTGGCATACCTGCTTGGGTTGGCCGCTGCCAGCTGGGTGGTTTGATGATGCCGGTGGATGCTACGGGTCTGAAGGCAGCGGCGGTGGTAAGGCTGGCCGCACCCGGTCTGCCCACACTTGTGCTGTCGGCACCTTCACACACCATCCGGGGTGAGGCTCCTGCCGAGGTGGGGTGCTCAGTGGGGCTGGAACCCAAACAAGGAGACATTGTTGGTGAGGCCGTAACAACTTCTCCTAGCAACACTCCTCTCCTATCCAAATCCATTAAATCGTGAAGGAAAATGAAATCTTGATTTATTTTCAGAAAGAAAAACACATGATGACTGATGGATTGCTCTCATTTAAACGAAAAAAAAAAAGAGTAGGAAAAGATAAGGAGCCTGGTAGCACTGGCTCTATACTTTGGAAATTCTCTTTAAAAGAAATACCGTAAGAAATTGGCTCATGAGAAGTACAAGTGACCGATCCATTTAAACCGTTAGCTACGCGTATCCACGGTTCAGAAGAACCATCTAGATGAAGGCAATGGTAACCTCTATGAAATGACATTAATGAGTGCCTTTTGCACACTCCTGTTTTTCTTTATGAACTAAGCTTCTCTGACACGGGACTGGCGAGGCCCTTTCTTTTGTCAGCTTAGTCAGGCACTCAGTTGTTCAAATCCCTAATATAAGCCACACACTGTGCTACCCGCTGGCCACCTGGTACTAAGGGAGAGATGGCAGCACTTGTCTGAGACAATGCCAGTGTTGTACCATTAACATCGGGGTAAAAAGGGACTAGACTACCATGACTTTCTCTCGACCACAGTTATCAGCTTCCCATCCTGTATACTGGCCTCCCTGTTCTAAATTTGACATCTTTTGCAAGCTTTACATAACCGCTACTTTCCCCACCCTGTGCCCATCAAATCCCATTGATGATTCACAAGGGTAGCAATAATATCCACCTTGCCCTTTGTTCCCTACTAAGAAACTAACATAAAGCACTTCATTTCCCTTTACCAAACTTCAAAATATACTTTGTCTATACTATTGTTAGTGATAAAGCAAAGGTAGTGACTACTCTAGAACCGGGTGGATGAAGAGCTACTCAGCAACTGCATGCACACTTCTGTGTGTACTAGAAACACAACTTTTTTTTTTTTGTTTAGGAGAGAAGAGCCATAGGATTCTATCAAGTTCTGAAAGTGTAGTCAAAAAAAAAAAACAAATAAACCAGGGGCTGGTGGCTCATGTCCATAATCTTAGAGATATGGTAGGCTGAGATCAAGAGAGTTGACGTTCCAAGCCAGCTTGGGCAAAATTTGTGAGACCCTTTCTCAACCAATAGCTATACACGGTGACACCTGCTATTATCTTCGTTTCATACAAAGGTGAGGTCAAGAGGATCACAAGAAAATATAGGCAGAAAAGTCTGTGAGACTCATCTCTACGGAAGAAGCTGGGTATGGTAGTGTATACTGGTCAGGCCACCTGTACTGAAAAGCATAAAATAGGATCATGATTCAAACTCTGGCCAAAGTAGGAAGTGAGGCCCCTCTATAAAAAATCTAATGTTGGGCTGGGAAGGTGGCTCAGTGGTAGAGTGCTTGCCTCGTATGCATGACACCCTGGGTTTGATCTCTCAGCACCACATAAGCAGAAATAGCTGGAAGTGGCGCTGTGGTTCACGTGGTAGAGCGCTAGTCTTGAGCTGAAGAGCTGAGGGACAGTGCCCAGGCCGAGAATTCAGGCCCCACAACCAGCAAAATAATAATAATAATAATAACCTAATGCAAAGAAAGGAATCGGTGGGTGGCACAGATAGATATCTTGCTTAGCAAGTAAAAAGCTCTGAGTATAAACTCCACTGCTATTTAAAAAACAAAAAGCAATCCAGAACTGTAACAAATCATTTTTCCATAACATTGGAGAGGATGCAAGTACAAACTTGTTACATCAGATGATTGATTGGTCAGTCTGTAGCTAGCTAGATGATAGATCATCTATCTATAAAATACAGACACACTAGTTATTACCACAGTTTTATAATCTGCCATTAATTTTATAGGGTTCATTCAGTGATCTTATGCTTTTGGAAACTACTTAAGATCTGTTTTGTACTTACACGGTATACTTGATAGTTTTAGGCCTAATCATTAGGTATAGGAGAAAAATTGATCAATGTATTTTAACACTGCTTGGATTTACCATGCCCTATAGGCTCGTGGTTGGATACCAGCTGGTGACAACATGCATTATAGAAGGCAGGAAATAAGTCAGGCCCATGGAAGTATTCTAGAAGAGGATATAAGAACACAGCCCCTCCTCACTATCTAATGTCCTGACACCCCATGGGTGGGGTGGGGGGGCCAGCTTCCTCCCTCCTGGCCTTAATGCTCTGCCCCAACACAGACCCACATGCCCCAGAGCCAGCCAACACTGGACTGAGACCTCTGATTCCATTAAGTCAAAGCCAACCTTCCCCCTGGACGAATTGCTTTTCTCACACATTTTGTCAACAACAGAAAATTAACTCAAGTAGCACTCAGATAGTAAAACTTAAGTTACCTTTTCAAGCAAAGTCTTCATGCTGAACAACTTTGAGTATAGCCAACCAAAATGAATGATTCTTTTTTTACATGATTCCAGAAACTGTATCTTACTTGCCATTTGATTAGTTTAGTATTTACTTGCCTAGCAAGTAGAAAAGTCTGTAATGTATTAAAGTCAGTTATTATATTCATGCAATACATGACAATATTAGGCTTAATTAAATATTAGTGTCATTACTCATCATTTCATACCAAACACCAAGTGTGCCAATGAAAGGTGTCACAAAAGAATAGCAGGTGAGCTCATTGCCATACAAAATAAAAGCTGGTAAATTAGCACTGCATTGAGATTACAGTTAATTTACAACTGGGAAGAAATCAGCTCCAGGATTCTGCCATGGAGCCTGCTAGTTAACACTGTGGTTGAGTCTAAGAGAAAGCAACACGGCAAAGCACCCATCTGCTCTCACATTACCTGGCTTCTTTAACCTGGAGAGAGCCAGATGATGTCCTGGTGGACTGAAGATAGGGAAAAGCTAAAGGCTTGGAAACAGGGCTGATGCAAAGTGCAGCCAGGAGAGAGGGAGACCTTTCAGCACTGGAGAGCCTGGCAAGCATTTGAAAAAGAGTTATGAGTGAAAAATTACAACTGCTAATAGGAGAAAGTAGGTTGTAAGAGTCATGATTGAAACATTTCCTTTGAGATCAAGATACTTCTGGGCTCACTGTATTATTTTACTCACTTAAATAAAGTTGAGTAAACTGCCACCAAAATTAGGCAAGACAATGTTTTAGAAAGCAATTAAAACTAGAAAGATACAGAATTGTAAAAAAGAATAACCCATAAAACTATTTAATTCTTTGGGGGGTAAATAGATAGGAAAGGATATCTGGCAGAGCAGTTAGGTTATACATTCCACCCTCGGGTTTTGGGTGAAAATAATAACAGAAACTTCACTTCTACTTGATTCTGCATCAAATGCAAAAACTGAAAAGTGGGTAGATGTCAGTGGCTCATGTAATCCTAGCTACTCGGAAATGAAAGCTGAAAGTCAAGGTTCAAAGCTAAACCTAGCAAAAAAGTTTCTGTGAGACTCTTATCTCTGAATAACCAGCAAAAATCCAGAAATGAGGTTGTGGCTCAAGTAGTAAAATACTAGTCTTTAGTGAAAAAAGCCCAGGGAAAGCACCTGGAGTTTAAGCTCTAGTATTGGCACAAAACCAACACAAAGAAACAAACAAAAAAAAACCCTGACACTGAAAATTATGAACACTCTGAAGGCCGTAAGCACACGACTTGCAGTCATCTTTACTACAGAGAAAAACTGTACATAGGTGGTACCAATGGAGAAATATGAAGAATGATTTTTACAACCACAACCACCTGGGTATTTACTCACAAGCTAGAAAAAAAAATAACCACCCCACAGTGCAGGGCTCACACAGAGCTCCAACCATCCCACATGGGTGTGCTGCCCGGAAGTGACATCAGACCAGGAGGATGCTGAGACAATTTGTGGTTCTACCTGGTTCTTGCTGCCAGGGCAGCGGACACAGCGGCAGCTGCCCTGCTGAGTGCTGCACCACTGTATCTGCCAGGAGAGGAGAGGGAAGAAGGGCCTCCAAAACCTTCCTCAGAACCGTCCACATGCCTTGTGGAGCTGTTACACAGACAAGTAGGGAAAGACAGACAGAGGAGAGGAAGATAGAAGAATAGATAAGCAGAACAGATACAAGATAGCCACCAGTCTATATTACAATTTAGATATAAAGGCATGCAATATCAATCGGGTAACAGGACTTCAGGTCATTTATTTACTCTGGCTGTGACTGCTTCTAGAAATTAGAATTTGCTGGGTAGTCTTATATAAAACAGATCTTTTAACATAGAAACACTCTTGGTCCCCTCTAGCTCTATTTAAAATTATATCAAAACCACGTACCACCCAGTAGAAGACTGACCTGCACTGAATAACGAAGTAGAGTTCAATTTCTATAAGCAAAGAAAGAAAGTTATGTGTATTCTCCCCCCCACCTCCAAAAAAAAGTCCCTATATCAAGAACGTTACCTTGGAGATGAAGTGTGCCTACAGCATGACATTTTAATGAGACTTGTGTTTTCAGGAGAAGCAGGTACAACAGCTGCCTGGGCAGAAGCAGCAAGATACATTAACGTGAACCAGAAATAACTGGTTGTGGACAGCTAAGAAGAGTCCATTTAAATTATTCAGAGTGAGTTGTTTGGGGAGGGCTAACATCTGTGCAAAAGTAAAAAAGCAACTGTGACCAAAGCATCATCTGCAGATTTCGTGTCTTGATTTTATACCTCTGAAGATTGTTTTTGAATTCAGAGCTTTGAGCTCTGGTGTTTGAATTCAGAGCTTCCTTTGAGCTTGCTAGGCAAGTGTTCTACCAACTAAGCCACAACCAAAGCACTTTTTGCTTTAGTTGTCTTTTGTCACAGGGTCTCAGCCTGGACCACGATCCTCCTTCTGCTTGCTTAGCTAAGATGATAGGGCACACCACCGTATCTAGCTTTTTACTGACTAAGTGAGTTTCTTAAGGGCTTTTTGCTTGGGATGGCCTTGAACTTTAATCCTCCTGATCTAAGGTAGATTACAAGTGTGAGCCTCCATGTCCAGCTCCATG